CATCGGTACAGACCACACAGACACTAACACGGGGACATCGGTACAGATCACACAGACATTATTAACACAGGGACATTGGTACAGTCTACACAGACACTCAGAGAATACAGTTAACAACTCTGTGTCCATAAACTCAGTGACATAAAAGAAACAAACCTATACTTAGGATTCAAACTACCAAAATTTGCAAAAGAAATAGATAATCTGAATAGTCCTCCATGTATTAAAGAAATTTGTGTGTAAAAACCTTCCAACAGAGAAAATGCCAGATCCAAATGGCTTCACTAGTAAATTCTACCACATATTTTAAGGAGAAAATGTTTGGGGTGTTGTTGTTTTGTTGTTTTGTTTTGTTTTTTGTTTTTATTTTGGTTTTTCAAGACAGGGATTCTCTGTGTAATAGTCCTGGCTGTCCTAGAGCTCACTCTATAGACCAGGCTGACCTTGAACTCAGAGATCTGCCTGCCTCTGCCTCCTGAGTGCTGGGATCAAAGGTGTGCACCACCACTGCCTGGCTCATTGTTGTTATTCTTAAAATTACTTATTGTGTATGTGTGTGCACACTTGAGTATATGCCATTGTGTGTGTGTGTGTGTGTAGGTCAGGGGGCAACTTTTTTTTTGATGGGGGTTTGAGACAGGGTTTCTCTGTAGCTTTGGAGCCTGTCCTGGAACTTGCTATGTAGACCGGGCTGACCCCAAACTTACAGAGATCCACTTGTCTCTGCCTCCCGAGTACTGGGATTAAAGGTATGCACCACCACCACCTGGCCAGAGGGCAACTTTTGAAAATGAGTTATTGTCTTTCACTATGTGGGTCCTGGGGGATTGAACTCAGGTCCTCAGGCTTGGTGGCAACTTCCTTTACCTGTCAAATTATTCATTAATTCATTTTTGAAACAGGATCTCTCTATATAGTCCAAATTCCTTCCTTTTTCCTAAGTAGTGACATTACAGGTGTGTGCCATCTCACCTGGCTTATTTTTTAATTTTTAAGTATTTAATCTATTTGTTCAATTTTATAGAATCTTAGTTATATAAAATAATTGTCTTAGTCTCTGCTCCATTGCCGTGAAGAGACATTGTGACCAAGGCAACTATTATAAGAGAAAACATTCAACTGGGGGCTGGCTTACAGTTTGAAAGGTTTAGTTATCACCATGGTAGGGAGCATGGCTGCAGGCAGACAGACACTGGAACAGTAGCGAGAATTGTATCCTGATCCATAGGCAGAAAGAGAGAAACTCTGCATAGACTTTGGAAACCCACACCCCCAGTGACACAGTTGCTCTAACAAGGCCACACCTCTTAATCTTTCTAATCCTTTCTCTTTTTTTAATATTTATTTATTTACTTATTATGTATACAATATTCTGTCTGCAGACCAGAAGAGGGCACCAGACCTCATTACAGATGGTTGTGAGCTACCATGTGGTAGATGGGAATTGAACTCAGGACCTTTGGAAGAACAGGCAATGCTCTTAACCGCTGAGCCATCTCTCCAGCCCTTTCTAATCCTTTCAAATAATGCCACTTCCTGATGATTTAACATTCAAATATACATGAGCTAACAGAGACATTCTTATTCAAACCACCACAATAATATAATTAAAAAAAAAAGTCAGTGGTGACACAGGCCTTTAATCCCAGCATTCAGGAGGCAGAGTCAGATGGATCTTTGTGAGTTTGCGGCCAGCCTGGTCTACAGAGCTAGTCCCAGGACAGCTAAGGCTGTTACACAGTGAAACCGTGTCTCAAACAAACAAACAAACAAACAAACATCATCAACAAAAAACCCAAACAACAAAAAAATCTCCTACTTCACAGTGACAATTTAGTCAGCAGTGGAACACATAAAAATGGCCCCTTAAAGCCTTATGTGTGTGGTAGGTTAATTAATACTGTCCAGTTTATATAAGTACACACTACAGTGTTCACATAGTGATGAAATCACTTATAACATGTTTCTTAGAATTCATTCCCACTAGGAAGTGACCCAGAACTATAGTTGTCTATAATTTAAATACTTATTTGAAGTATAATCGGGGCTGGAAGGATGGCTCAGCTGTTGAACACGCACTGCTCTTGCAGAGGACCAGAGTTCAATTTTTAGCACTTACATCTGATGGTTCACAATCACCACTAACTCCAGCTCCAGGGAATCTGGCACCCTCTTTCGGCCTGTATGCATGCACATGTAAACACACACACCCATTCTTATGTGCACATGTGCACACATGTACCCACACACTCAAATACAAATAAAAATACAAATAAATCTAAAAGAATGTTATTTAATTGCTTACCTAGAAATACTACCTCAGGGGTCGGAGAGAGATGTCTCAGAGGTTAAAAGTACTGGCTGCTCTTGCAGAGGACCTGGGTTTGGTTTCCAGAACCCACATGGCAGACGGCAGCCGCCTGAGCTCCAGTCCCAGGAGATCTGATGCCCTCTGGGCACTGCACTCAATGTGGAACATACTTGCATGTTCTTACACATAACATAAAAAATAAATTATAAAAAAGGAACACACAAAACTACTACGAATTCTCCAGAAGCTCTTCCAGGAGGTAGAAGAAGCGGGAATACTCAACCCGATATGTGATACCCACATTCCCCAATATCTAAGGCTGCCAGTGTCTCCAGGTACAGGGATAGTCATTGAGTCACGCCACAGATCTCAGCTGAACCTCCCCTGCGTGGCCTCGCTGTACTGAATGCTGAGAATACAAGAAGGAGCAGAGGAGCTGGAAAGCTGGCTCAGTGGTTAAGAGCACTTACTTCTTCTCCCGAGGACCTGAGTTCCAATTCCCAGCACCATATGGTGGCCCACAGCTCACAGCCATCTGTAATGAGACCTGGCGCCCTCTTCTGGTGGTCAGCATACATGCAGGCAGAACACTGCATACATAATAAATAAATAAATCTTTAAAAGGAGAGAAAAGAAGAGGCCCTAGGAACCTGTGTCTGCAGCATCCCATTTCAGGCACTAATGCCTAGGCCCCCAGCCAGCCTTGAGTTCCCAAGGGTAGGGACTACATCTGCTTAGTGCTGAGACTTAGCATTGGCCGGCCTCTGACTCTGAAATCCAGGCCAGTGATTGTCAGCTGTTTCCCCAAAGCAATGCTGGGGTCAGTCCCACAGCAGTGTACAGAGGCCAGGGTGGCCTGCTCTTTGTCTTCTTTCATGCAGCAGGCTTTTCAGAGGCTTTCAATGGGACAAAGGAGTTCTGGTCCTGTCACAGGCCGTTGTCCTAGTCTTTCCGTCAGGCCAGGGGCAGGACACTCTGCTGGGATCCACACCCAGCCACACCGGGACTTACAGTCACACTCCGGTGGCTCCTCCCTGTAAGGGTCAGTTTTCAGCTCTTCCTTGCTGGAGTGCACTGGCACCACACATCACAAACTCTGCTAAGCACACTAGTTTAACATGAGAAGTTCATGTTTGGGGGAAGGGTCCCTTTCTACTTCTTGGATGGTCCCTCCACCCCTCTCCATACAGCCTGCAGTAACCCTGGTCCCCAGTTGGGCTGTCTGATCCAGCATGGCCTCTCTCCACACAGCCTGCAGTGACCAGCCCAAGGGTACCCAGATGGGCTGTCTGATCCAGCATGGCCTTACCCCATTTCACCACAGGTTCTTTAGCCCCATGGCCCGTCCAAAGCTGCAAGGGAGAATTATCTGGTCAAATGGAAATCACAAACACTGGAAAGAGCTTTCTCTCCTCACACACTCCTTCAAAAGTCAGGGCTGGAGAAATGACTCAGTGGTTAAGAGCACCGGCGGCTCTTCCGGAGGCCCTGAGTTCAAATTCCCAGACGCCACATGTTGGCTCACAATCATTTCTAATGGAATTTGATGCTCTCTTTTGTTGTATAGATGCGCATTCAGGCAAAGCACCTATATACTATATAATAAATAAATAAATATTATTATATGTAAGTATATATAATAATAAATAAATAAATCTGGAGACAGCTATGTAGCCTTGTTCCAGAAGGTATGCTCCAAACTCCTGCAGCAAACATTGAGCCTCAGCACCCATGCCCCGCCAGGCCCCCAGTCGCAGCCCTTCTTTGGAGGCTGTGGCTGGTGATTTTCCTGCTTGCTGAAATGGAAGTTCAGTTCTCAGTGCTGCCTCCTGCTGCCACAGATGTCTATGTTTAAAATACCCAACCACGGCAACAGCACCGCTGTCTAAGCACTTCCGGTGCTCTTTCTGAGCATGTGCATCTAAAGAATCAAGTGCTGGAGTAGGGTGTGGGAGAGCTGGGAAGTCTGCTCAGTGGTTGCAAGTATTGGCTGCTCTTGCAGAGGACCTGGGTTCAATTCCCAGCAACTACATGGCAGCTGTAACTGTGTACAGCTACATCTATCACAGCTGTAACTCCAGATCCAGGGGATCCAGTGCTTTTTTTCTGACCTCCACAACAATAGGCATGGATGGTGCACATACATACGCAGGCAGAACACTCAAACACATAAAATGAACAAATCTTAAAAAAAAAAAAAAACTAAGAAAAAGGATCTGGAAAGACCCATTTTGTGGGGCTAGCAAACACCTCCAGCTCCAGGAGGATCCCATGTCTCTGTTCTCAGGCCCCTGCGCTCAGCTGTGCACACCTGTGTACACACACACACACACACACACACACACACAACTAAAAATAAAAAGATAAAAAGATACGAACAAAAAAGGAAATCAAGAGTTGGAAGCTGGGCATGGTGGCACATGCCTTTAATTCCAGCACTGAAGAGGCAGAGGCAGGAGAAGATCTCTGAGTTCAAAGCCAGCCTGGTCTACAGAGTGAGGTCAGCAAGAACAACATAGAAGTCATTGAATTGATTCAGGGCTGGGAATTGGCAGGTGACAAGGGAGACGTGACCAGCGTGCTGCCCTGGAGAGGAAGGCTTCTCAAGTGGGATGAGTGGAGAGGGAGAAGGGTCGATGCTTGTGACCAAGGAAAGACAGCTGAGGAGTAGTATGCCCGAAGCATTAACACTTACACCGGGGACCCCATACCAGACACACTGTCAAGTCACTCGTATGTCTGAAGAATTTATCTGGAAGTGGCTGGAGAATACAGCTGCCAGCTCCCAGATCAGAGATGATGCTGAGTTATGGATAGGAGCACGCGGTGGTGATCCTTAGGTGATGATGACACTCCAGAGTCATCGAGTGGATGGAAACTTTTCCTCTACTGTGTGGGGACCTGTTTTGTTTTGTTTTGTTTCTTTTTTCTTTTTTTGGTCATGGTGATTGGGTGCCATCGTTTTGGGAGGGGGTAGGAATGTGCAAGGTGATGGATGAATCTTTTCTTACCCTCCTTGTCTCCTCTCACAGGGTTCGTTGGTTCCCAAGAAAGAGCCTTACGCCCGGGAGATGCTGGCGATCTCCTTCATCTCTGCGGTCAACCGCAAACGGAAAAAGCGGCGGGAGGCGCGGGGCCTGGGCAGCAGCACCGATGATGACTCCGAGCAGGAGGCACACAAGGCTGCGGCGGGGACGCAGGAGCCACCCGAGGAGCAGCTGCCGGGCCCCACAGCTGTGGAGGCCCCGGGTCGCCTCAGCCCCCCGACGGCACCCGACGAGCGGCCCGCCGCGGACACGCGCTCCATCGTCTCGGGCTACTCCACCCTGTCCACCATGGACCGAAGCGTGTGCTCGGGCACCGGCGGGCGGCGCGCGGGCGCGGGTGACGAGGCGGACG